GGGACCTGGCTGTAGTGGCTGGGTGTTGCCTAGCAGCATTGCTGCGGCAACACACTGGGAAACTGGTGTTACAAAGGAAAGGATGCTCACTCTTCGGAAAATCTGGTATCCATACAGAGAAGTAGAACAGCAAAATTAACTTGAATGCGACTGGGTGGTGGGTCCAGAGTCATCTTTTGAGCTTCCACTCCTAATTTGAGAGGAGGGATGGGAGAGTATCTGCTGTCAGACTCCCAACGAATTCATCTTAGTCAAATCAATTGTATGATTTCTTAACAAGACTGTAATAAAAGCTTACCATGGAGACACTACTTGTGCTGTGCGAGGATACACTTCTGGGGTTAAGGTGGTAACAAGATCTTTTAATAAACGTTCTTCCAAACTTCTTGTTCCTTACAGAATCTGTCACTCTTCCACTTGCTTTTATTCTAAACAGTGGCACAGTAAAAGAGAACCTCGGTCACAGCAAGCTGTTACAGGTGTTATTGTGAAGGTTGTTGGACCCATTCCTTTCGGGAGAAGGCTTTATCTGAGAGAGGAGTCACACACTGAAATATGGTGGTGTGAAGTGACAAAAACAGAGTTAACTGTAAGAATTTGCACAGGATGGTATGAGGAAACACTGGCAGCAACAAGTCTTTAGGAAAAGTAGAAATGAAAGAAACTTCTTTTTCTGTCATTATTTTGGTGAGTTTTGTGACAGAATTCATTTGAAGATGCTTCGTCCTCTTACTCTTTCTCCTCCTTCCAAGATAGTAGGAAGCTGCACAATTCCAGTTCTGTTTGGTTCTCTTAACAGTTTCATTAAAAAAAATACCCATGACTTGAGATTGAGGCTTTGATTTGGGCATTCTCCCCCTTTTTCCCTCTAGCACCATAGCCATCTTTTCATTTTTTTACATTTAAATTTGCTGCTTTTCCTAAAAAAGGGAGGTTACAGTAGAAGAATTTAAGACATCTGGGAAAACACAGCTCCTCATGCCATGCTGATTTTCAGGTCTCTGTATAAGAACTGTAATACTCTTTATATCTTTCAGCTCCCCGTACCACCTTTTTCTTACCCCATGAGTATGTAGTTCTAACATTGACCTTTATCAGTAATAAATCAGTTATTGTCAGCCGCTTGGAAATACTCTGAAAGTGCTAAAGGTTTCTCTGGACTGAATTTGACACAGTAGTTCATGAAATTAAAGTATGTATTGGAAGTTTAGTGTGCGAAATCTGGTTTTGGAATTTTATTGTTTTACATCAATGTACATCTACGTGATGCTGTGCTAAATGACAAGCAATGAGAATCTTTTCTTGGGAAAGACCTGACTTTAGAAAACCATTTGTGTTTACAGTGCCGTATAATATGCCATGGTGATACTTACGTAGAACTGTCTTGCAGTGTTTACATCTAACATGCACTTATTAAAAGCTGGCTAACGTTTTAAAGGTGAATCTTTTTTTTTTTTTCCCATTATAAGACCCTACCCTGCCTTGCTTACAGCTTTGCCAGACTCTAATGGTTTGTATTGAGTCACCAAGTATGTGTGTCTGACTGAATTGTTTTGTAAAACTCCATCCAAGAAGGCTCAGTTGCTCATGAGAACGTGACTAAGAAAAGTGTTTTCCCATATGAAAATATTGGTATTGTAGACTTCTTTTGTTGAGGCGAGGGGCTGTTTTTCTGTAAATATTCCATCTCTAGGGCAAACGTGAGATTTTATTAAGAGAGATTATGTTTCAGAAATGTGCCTGCTCATATCCTGGAAGAAATTCATCCAATTTGGAGGTCTGAGGCTGGAACAATTTCAGTGAATTCTCAAGGACTGAGAATAAATGAGAGTAAAAGGACTGAGAGATGGATGTGATACAGAGTCTATGAGAGAGTCGTGGTGAACTGGGAATAGGAACTAGGAGTGAGTAATGCTCCAAGTGTTGGAGGTCTTTGCTTTCTATTCAACCTATGGAATACAGTCTGGGAAAGTAGGCTGGAGGGGGCACGGCTGCAGACAAAGAAAAATTGTCCCATGGGTGAGGGAGCAAGATGCTGCTCTGGAGAAATGAAATTTCTCCCTGCCTTTGCCACAGGATTCCTCTGTTGTAAGGGAGATACCTGGAACAGAACGGTCACCGTGTGTGTGTGCTCTTTATTTACGGGGTGTCCTGCTTGATTCCCACAAGGCCGAATTGCAGAATTCCTAAGTTCTCTGTTAAACCAGTTTGAGATCCAAGGTATGCAAAATTAGGAGGGCTTGCTTCAAATCCGTGTCTGTGAAAGTGGTACTCCCATACTTCATTAGGGTGCTGCAGAAATAAATTTGTTTCTTGACATGAGATGAAAGTACAGAAAAGGAAGCTTAAGCATTTTAAGTTCAGAAGAATAAATAAAGGATGGGGTCAGACACTGCAAAGAAAACTAAATATTGAATAACTGTTCACTAATTGAGTAGCATCAAACTGTGCACTGAATAAATGAGGAAGACAAGGGGGAAGCTAGTATTTTAATGTTTATTTAACCAACAGTTTTATACAGATGTACAGGAAGGCTGAATTGAGTTTGGAGAAGTAATATTCATTCTGACACCTCCTAATTTTTTCAGGGCGTAGTTTTGCAACCTTAACGTTGAATAGTTTTTTGGGTGACTTGAATATACACAGACTTTTTGAATGTCATTGTTGTTATTTAGCTAATTTATTTAAAGACAATCCTTTTCTTTGAGATGGACGTGCGGGGAGAACAGCACTCGTGTCAAAGTTTGAGCATGTGTCGTGATGAATTAGGTTCTGCAGGAGTGCAGAAGAAGGGTTGAGATGTGCAGCCACGCTTTTCCTCCTTGGAGCGCTTAACACCTTGTGCCAAGTTCTGCAGCAGGTTTTGTTTAGTGTATCTTGGAAGGATTTGTAGTGGGTTCCCCAAAAGCCAGTTGTATGAAACTGTTTTTTATGCGTGTTTGAGCGTTGTGCAGTGGAACACACCAGCTAATGCCTGTGTGAAAGGTGTCTGAGAGAAACTGGCCTGTTGTGCTGAATCATGATTAAGCTGCGCAGCAATCAGGTGTACAGATCTCCCGTGACCCAGGGCTTGCGTGACTAATGATACCAGTGGTAAATCACTCCGTTACAGATCTGAGTGTTTCAGGAAAATGTCTTCATAAAGAAGAAATCCGAAGTGGGAGTGTATAAGGAAGGGATCTTTTGCTTGAAGAAAGAAAAAAAAAAAATAAAAGGGGAGCCCTAATTCCAGAAAGTCTTGCTCTTCAGTGACATTTGAATTTTTTGTAGTGTGTATTACAGCACCTTGGACGAACTTCATCACCACACTACTCAGTTTTGCCATGTTTTTAGGCATATACGTTTTCTGTAGACTACCTCAGAAAAATGAGACTGGCTTTCTGGAGGGCGTGCTTTGTGTTTGAGTAGTGAAGGAGGCTGTTGTAGACTTGTGGCCTCGCTTGCTAAGAGTCTGTGTGGTGAATGCAGGAGAAGATTGCAAGAAGAGAAGGAATTCATTGCATAATGAAGGCAGCACTCCAGGGTCATTGGGAGCTTGGTGGTGTGCAGCGATTTTTCTGCTGAAGACTTAAAAAGTTATGCTTTTAAAATTGCTGTAGATGGCATGCTGGATGAATTGATGCCTCCCAGGGTACTGGGAGCAGCACTTTATGAATACACTGAAGTTTCTGTTCATGGGCTAAGCAACAAACAAGAAAAAAACATATGGCCAAAAAGATGTTGACCTAAACCAGACTGTTTGATGGTATTTTATTCTTTTGAGTTAGAACTAACGTTAGAAATGAAATGGTGTTTTCCTGTTTCAGAAGCACGAGTGTTAGATTTTGAAAATGTCAAAATCAAATGCATGGATTTGTGATGAACTTTCTTTAAAAAGCCTGAATTCACAAAAACATAAATTGTGACTGAGTTGTGTGTTGATGGCAAGAAGAGAAGCCCTTTCTGGTTTTTGATATCTGCTTTATATAGCACCGTGTGAGAATTTCATGCTCAGGTGTTCATCCCAGCCCCGTAATCACTTTTCAGCAGTAGGAAGCAATCGTGGGTGAATGCAGTCCTCTGGAGCCTGGCATTCCAGAAGCCCAAGGTATAAATCACTTACAACATCTAGCAATCCGTAGGTTTTCCTTTGCTGCATTTCTCCATGATTGTCTCACAAGCCCAATTAAATTATTTTCCCACCTTGCTCTTTCCAAAAGCAGTAAACAATTAGAGTTTATATAGGATAAAATAAATTAAAAGCAATTTACAGTCGAACTTTTTTGGCCTTTCTGTGGCATTTGGAAGAAGGGGAGGTCTCTCTGTGCTTATTTGAGATAGATCCAGCTGCAAAAACCAGCATGGCTTGCATCTTCCTTTGGCCATGATATAGTTCAGAGTTCCAGGTGAGCATGAAAAATGCCCAGAAGTCTGATGCAGGGAGGTGCATCCCTGGTGGTTTTCGGGCGCTGTCAGAAGTAGAGGCAGAAACCTGATCCACTTCTACGAAAGGTTTATCAGAGTGGGACTCTGGGAGGTCCACCACAAGCACAATTCACTTGGCTGCTGCACTTTTCTCCCTGACAGGCTGGAAGGGGTCAGACTCTTGGAATGATGCCTGGTTAGAAGAGTAACAAGACGCTCCATACGGAGCCAACTTTGTGAACTCTACTCTCTTTACAAAATAAGTTCTGTCTCAACAGGCAGGGGAAATAGTTCCCAGGAAAACCATTTTAAGTTCTACTGGAAGTGGTATTGATAAGGGACAGGGATACATTTATTGGAATATGTTTGGTATCCCATCAAGACCATTCGCGAACAGTCTTTTGAATAGGTTTCCTGCCAACAAAGAAACAGTTGTGGAATGTTTCATTTCAAACGACAAAAGAAACACTTTGCCTAAATATTGATATATTGAAATTGATAGGTGTTGGATTCATTGAAGGAAACAGTGGCTGTGTTGCTTGAAAGAGAACTCACTCTGAGAGTCAAAGTAAGCCTTTTCTTTCTTCACCCGGCAGGTTCCAATCCATCAAAATCTTAAAGAGCTCCTCGCTATCCGGACGGAGCTTCAGAAGAAGGTTGAAGATTTGCAGCGGGAAGCTGCTACACGATCCATTTCTTCCTCCTCCGATAGAGGTTCATCTCCTTCCCATTCCGCCACGCCGGTGCACACCTCTGTGTGATGTGTAACAAAAGCCATGCGAAAAAATTTGTGTCAGGTAATACAGAGAGGAGGGTGAAACGCTTTTCCCATCACAAAAGAACTGTGAGTGACTTGTAATTGCTGTGATCTACATGCCTTACTCTGTGTCTGATATTATCGTGATGAGGCCAAAAAGAGCTTCAATAGATGTGATGTATTTTCTTGTTGGCAGTTCCCACATGTGTTTTGACATCTCTAGCTAAATCACCAATTGTGAAATTAAACTTTGTTTTGAGCAACTAACAATTTAACCATCCTAAAAAGGAATCCATCTGGCAAGCAGACAGAGAAATGCCTCTCTCACTGCCGAGGGTACCATGCCTGGCTGAGAGAATGCGATTAAATGCCACATGATGCTTACACAGAACATGGAACGTTTTGCTGAATGGGAACTCCTTATTTCACTCAGTAATATGTATTTTTTGTCAGCTAGAGCAATTTATTTTTTTTAGGTAAGTAATGCACTTGGAAATTTATTTTTAAATAAATGTTTTCCAGTGTAGTCAGTTTTACATTTTGACTATGCCATTAAAAGTGGATGAAGTTAAGCTGGATTTATCAAGTGTACCACACTGACTTGTACGATGTAATATATTTGGTAAAGCATGTATTTTAGGGTTTTTAATGCCTTTTGTACAAGTTGAAATAAAGTCTTTTGACTGTTTAGCTTATTGTTCAGTTTCAGCCTCCTGAGTGAGGGGTAAACTTACTCATGTCCAAGTCTTGTACAAAGCAAAAGTTTGTTTTGTAGCAAATGGTAATATTTGGGGTTGGAATGACACCCAGCTGTGTAAATTGTATAGTCTGTATAGCTCCACATTTTGCTAAGCGTGTTTTGTTTTAAAGTCTACACACAAAATGCAAAGCTGTGTCCATTTATTTACATGTGTATGTGATGTTAAACATATGCATATTCCCGTGGATTTAAGCTGTAAGTTCAGAAGATGGATCCTGCCTGTCCAAACTCTTTTGAAGACTTTAACTTGTAATGACTTTGTTTGACAAAGTTTTTGAATAATATGATCTTAATTGGTTTACTTTAAATAAAGCCTCTTGGCTTTTTGTTTTTTAAATTGCTACTAGAATTTTTTTTTTCTGTAAAGTGAATAATTTAATGGTGTTTTCATATAAAGTATTCTTTCTCAACTTTCTTTCATCTCCCCCCGAAAATATTTGTATCAGAGAGATTTGATTACTATAACGTCCAACCTTTTAAAAAATTATTCAGTGGCCTTGGAAGGCCCAGAAATGATGGATGCTGAAAATTTTCCCTGGATTGTTTTCCGTGCTGTGTTTCATGAGAATCTGGTTCTTCTCCTTAGTATATACTTCAATACTGCAGCTCTGCTTTTTGACTCGTGCTGGTGGGAATTCAGCCAGCGTTCTTAAGAGCCAGTGGACTTTCTGTGCTGCTGGTGGTTTTTCTGTCTGCGAGAATTCGTTTATCACTGCGTGTTTGTTCTCAGAGTGCGATGGCACTTTCCTGTTTCTCTGCATTTGTGTACGTAGCACATAGTTAATGGGTAAGGTGAGCTGCTGAGCACTTTTGCAACTTCAACTGGAAAGGCTAATGCGCTGTTTCCAGTCTTACAAGTTTTCTGTGCAGTGCAGGGTATTTCAACATGTCCTTTTTATTACAGTGAATGCTTTTTATAATAGATACCTACAAGAGCAAAGTTTAGGAAGGCTTGCGATGTTGCATCTCTTAAGCAACCTCAGGCTTTTTATAAATAGATGAAAGATGTTTTCCTGTAAAAATGGTTCTGCTGAACAGTATGCCAGCAGTAAATTTTACATTACCAAAATATGTTGAGCTGGTATTGAATTAAACTCTTCCGTACTTCGGATTTCCTTGACGTTTTAACTGTATATTAAAGCACATTATCTCTAAAATGCAGTGCTAAAGAAAATCTTTTGAAGTTTTCCTCTTTATTGCTGCTAATAATCACAACATTTTCTCTACAATTATTGTAAAAGCGATGACTGGATTAGCTCGAGCATTCTGAGATTTTTGAAGCTTAGATTCCTAGAGCTAAGATCTGAGAATTTGGGTTTTGCATGGAAGAATACCAGTGATTTCAACTGACTGGCTGTTTATCCACAAGTTTCAACATAGCTCAATGAGTCTTCTCTGATCTGAAGGGAGAGCACTGGGGGAGGGATCCTGCTCTAATCTGTGTAAGCACAATGGATGTTTTTGTATGTACTTAGCATGGAAATTTTCAAAGGTATTATACAGCTCCTATATGCTACTTAAAGCATAGTTTTATATTGAAGAGATGACTCTTTTTGTACTCGATCTGATCCCTGATAATCACATTTTTTCCCTATCGATTTAACAACTAATTGTGTCATTATTTTTTATTTTTTAATAAGGCAGAATTGAACTGGTTCAGGAAAAAGCAGAACCCTGTGCCCTGTCTGATGCACCTTGGACAGAGCTATTAACTTCTGATTCAAAAGCTGGATATTCTTTTGCTTTGGTTTTCGATTTTTGACTCTGCTGAGTATAAAGAGAACGTGCAAAGACAGCAAGTGGTTAGATTTGACCTGTAGGATTTTCCTATTGTCCCAGAATGGGCTGAAGCCTTGGTAACAAACTGAAACATTGTTTGATTGCGAAGTAAGTGAATCATCAGCATCGGACACTTCGCCATTTTAGTCCTGTTTCAGAGCTGAATTACACTTTTTCCTCCTTTGTAGATAAAAGTAACTTTTTTGTTGTTTCATCAAAATGGAAGAAGGCTTTTAAAGCTGGTAAACACTCCTATCTGCCTGGTTTTGTTCCTTGCATAGGCAGCCTTCCTCTCAAGGAGTTAAAGCTTTAAAAATGAACTGTTTGATTTTTCTCTTATTTTCTGAGAAAAGCTGTACTAATTCACATACTGTTTGTAGTAACACTGAGAATATCTGGTCCTCCAAAAGCTGGAAATAAGGGATCAACAACTCCCACTCATGGAGCCCCACTGCAGAGGACAAAGTAAAATGGGCAATTTAGAGTATTCCCCACGTGAAACATTTATGTTAAAAAGCCAAAAGGAACGGCCATTTGCTGAGAGATCACATCTGCTGAACTAGGTGGGTATCACATTAGAGATCTCCTTAGTGCCAGATTTTGTGCAGTGGGGAAGAAGAATTTTATTTCTACAAGAAGTTTGAGTCAGAATTAGCTAGTTTGAAATATAAACCACCTTTTTTGACTGTGGGATCATTGTGCAAAGGTCAAAAGCTTAGCTTGCACTACACGGGAGATTCATCTATGGGATGTGAAATTCCAAAGAAAACTGCAGGAAACCCAGGGCAGCGAAAAGGACGAAAAACCAGCCCTGCTGAGTGCAGCCCGGGACACGGCACTACCTGGAGTCTAGTGGCTGGGTGACCCGAGGAGAGTGTGCGTGTGCAGGCGTGTGCGCGCAAATACTTCATTTTTACCATTAAAGTTTTCATAATGATACTTGTTTTCTCACAAAGTCCATTTTTTTGTGTGGTTTTTTTTTAAGTAAAGCCTTTAGTGTAGTTATAGAAGAGGTTATGTACAATAAGGATATAGCCCACCTTTTGCAGTTTACCTCCAACATGAAAAAACCCACAAAAAATCAAGTCTAAAACCTTACTAGTCAACTTGTTTTATTCAGTGTTTTCCAATGGTAGTCAAATTCTGATTTTTTTAACCCCATGATCCTTACATGCACATTAGCAAAATGAATCTTTTCATAGCATAACATTCAACCTTCATTTGGTAGTGATCGCTTTGGGATCAACAAACAATACGCCTCGCTTTAAGTAAGGACTTCACTCGAAAGGATTCTCTGATTTCACCATACCATTGCTTCTGAACTTCATTTGTTCCTGAACCTCTTTTGTTGCAGAAGCAAATTTTTAAAGCCTTAGCCTGTCGACTCATCTTACTTTATCAGAATTTGAAATGGTATTATGGACCAATTCCATTTTTATCACAACAAATGAATAGTTACGAATGACAATATAGCACTTGTAAGGGTTCCTTAGTGGGGTTGCATGAAAATGACTGAATTCGTAGTGCCAAAATACCCGAAATTCATGTCATAGTATTCTCAACTGAAGAATCTGAAGTGAAGAAACTACTACGGTATTGCCAAAGGAAAATGCAAGTAACTGACAGGATAAACAACAGGAAAAGAGCTAGTTAAATTCTTTCCTTTCTCGGTTTTCTCTGTAATTGAGAAAAACCTTTTCTGAATTATTTTATTAAAAATAGCTTTAGTTAAGCTGAAGAAGTGAAGTGTTTCAAGAAAAAGGGCTCACAGCACAGGTAGCACATAAACTCTCAGGGCAGCTGAGTCTTCCACCAGTTCATGGCCTTTTTTTATGAAGCGTGAGAAAATTCATACCATGTATACAGAACCTAAGTGTAGGATTTTTAAAAAATCCCATATCCAGATCTAAAGAGAACAGATACCAATTAAATGAAGGGAGTTAGAGAGGTCAGTGCTGGGTCAGCTGTTTCAGAACTTGGAGCACTACTAGGAAAACACACAGGAAACCTCTCAGTTGCTATAATGCCTAAAATATATATGACGTATAAACTCCCTTTTCTTAGAGACTGGTCTGAGAGTTCAGATGGAGAAGGAGACGGACTGCAATAAAAAAGCAATTTGAGCCTTTACAGACATTTAGCACATTAAGACTTTGACTTTTGTCCAGTTCTGAAGAGAAGACCAAGTTTAATTTCTTTACTGCGGTATTTGTCAATATCTTCCTATTTGAAATCCTAGAGATCTTGAATTCTGTTCCTGTAAATTTTTGAAACAGTGCTCCCTTTCACTGGGCATTTATGGTTTTCCATGTACCTAGAAATTACACTAAGGTGTAAGTGTTCACCAGTCACAGAAAAGGCCTTGGGGAAAGAAGCAAGTTCTAAGTTTTTAAACCCAGGTGTTTTTTTTCAGTGAAACAGCTTTTTATTTTTGCCTTTTTATTTATTTTTTTTAAAACTGCAGTATTTGTGAATTAGACACGTGTTTCTCTTATGTTCTAGCATTAAGAGTTTCCCTCAGGAGGGGTAGGGGCTATATTCCTTAAGCAACGCCAGACACTCCAGTGCACTGTCCACTGGACAAACAGGGATGGCACGATAAAACCGATGATGTGCGTCTACAGAAAGCACGGTCATTGGCAAAAGGAGAAATGGAATTACGGTCACTTCATCTAAGCTGGGAAAACGGCTCCTAGTGTTCGTCAATGCCATGCTGGAACACTTCATCTACAATAACTTCCTAAAAAGATTTTTCATGCTACAGCTTTCAAATTTGTTTGACTGAGAAGGAAAAACAGGCAACGGTGCTCAGGAATGGAGATACACAAAGGCAGCTGCGTGGCTCCGTTGGCATCTGAGCAGCTGCATGTGATGATCTGAATCCTGCAGACCACGACT